CACAAACAAGCAAAGCTCCATCCGTGGGATGCAGGCAGCACACGAAACCACGTACTCTCCGGTCCGTGGAAAAACCTCTCTCCACGGAACCGGTCCCTGATGCCCAAAAGGTTGGAGACCTCTGCCCTAGGCCTTCCCATCTATTAATCTGGCTTCTGATGATTCCCCGTTCAATGTGAGTTCCCAATTCCAAATCATTCCAGATTGCTAACTCATGCCTCAATCCTATCATCTGAGAAGCCTGATATATCTCTGAATGAAGAAATTGAGCGCATCTACTTCTTTCTTCTACCCATCTGAGACACGAAGGGCCCAAACAAGGCCAACTCATTGTGAAAGTTGATTCTCACAAAGTCTACTTATTAGCATTTACCTCTACAGGACCTGATACTAAAATGGCCTCTTATTAAAACCAAGAAGAGTTGGATATGGCAATTCTCATGTAGAGTTGGTGGGAGAAAAAGGCACAAGAACAGAGAAGAGCAACAAAGATGATCAGGGGACTGGAGGCTAAAGCATATAAGGAATGGCTGCTGGAATTGGGTATGTCTAGTTTAACGAAGAGAAGGACGAGGGGGGACATGTTAGCAGGGTTCCAGTATCTCAGGGGCTGCCACAAAGAAGAGGGAGTCAAGCTCTTCTCCAAAGCACTTGAAGGCAGGACAAGAAGCAACAGATGGAGATTAACCAAAGAGAGAAGCAACCTAGAACTAAGGAGAAACTTCCTGACAGTGGGAACAATTAACCAGTGGAACAACCTGCCTCCAGAAGCGGTGAATGCTCCAACATTGGAAGTTTTTAAGAAAAGACTAGATAGCCATTTGTCTGAAATGGTATAAGGTTTCCTGCCTGAGCAGGGGGTTGGATTAGATGACCTCCAAGGTCCCTTCCAACTTTATTATCATTATAACTATAAATCTGGATTATCGTAAATACAGGTAGTCCTTGATTTATAACCACAACCCAGCTCAAACTTTCTGCTGCTAGGCGAGACAGTTAAGTTAATTTTGCCCTATTTTATGACCTTTCTCACCCTGGTTGTTAAGCGAATCACTGCAGTTCCTACGTCAGTTAACAGGGTTGTTTTAAGTGAATCCGGCTTCTCCCCCTTGACTTTGCTTGTCTGGAGGTCACAAAAGGAGGTCACGTGACTCCGGGCCACTGCGGCCGTCATTAATATGAGTCAGTTTAAACAAGGGTCTGAATGTTGATCACGTGACCCTGGGGATGCTGCAACGGTCCTAAGATCCTAAGCACTGTTGTAATTTTCATCGGTCACTAAACAAACGGTTGTAAGTCGGGGACTACCTGTAATGGCTTTTTAGGTTGTTTTTTAAAAAATAATAAAATATGAACTCTTAGCTGGGAGAATCCTGACACTCACCATAGAGCTGCCAAATCCGGACTTTATCTTCATAGGGCAAATCATATTTCAGGGGGTCTCCCACCGGCCCCTGGTAGTACGGCCTCATGATTGACTCCACAGCAGAGATGTGGGCTAAGCCGATAGCGTGGCCAAACTCGTGGACCGCCACAGCAAACAAATCCATCCCCTCCGTATCTGAAATGAAGAGGGAAGACCCACGCAGATTATTGCATAAGCGGGGAGCTTCTAACTTTTCCTTAGGTTCTCCTGCACGTGGAAAAATAAAAAAAATACCGGTTAATCCACCATAAGACCATTTTAGACAGGATGAAAATGTTGGTTTAAGGTATGCCTGGCTGTTGCTTACTATGGTTGACTGGTAGAAAGTCATCCTTCGCCATAGGTTGACTCAACTCTCCTGCTATTTTTGGTACAATGTCTTCTTAAGTTCAACCCCAATGATTGAGTCAACTCTTCTGCAACTCTGGTCTGGTTTTGTTGTCTAGATCAGAGGTCCCCAACCTTTTGGGCACCAGGGACCGGTTCCGTGGAGAGAGGTTTTTCCACGGACCGGAGGGTGTGTGTTTTTGTGTGTTGCCTGCATCCCATGGATGGGGCTTTGCTTGTTTGTGCGGACCGGTTGCTGACATGTCGTGGCCCGGTACTGGTCCACGGACCAGGGGTTGGGGACCCCTGTTCTAGGTGTGGATGGTGCAACATCTAGACCCCTTTTTTATCCTATGGTGTCTCCATGGTTGTATACCTTTAGCCTATCTTCCTTTGGACCTATTCTTACTCTATCATTCCCCCGTTCTTTGCATTGGTGCTTGTGAAGGCATGCAAAACCATCCTTTACAAATTTGGAACATACAGGAACATAGAATGATAGGGCTGGAAGGGACCTTGGAAGTCTTCTAGTCCAACTTCCTACTCAAGTAGGAAACCCCATACCATTCCAGACCATTTCCAGCTGCCAAAAAAGGCCAACACAGTGCTAGGCTGCATTAACAGAGGGATAGAATCAAGATCACGTGAAGTTTTAATACCACTTTACAATGCCTTGGTAAGGCCACATTTGGAATACTGCATCCAGTTTTGGTCACCATGATGTAAAAAAGATGTTGAGACTCTGGAAAGAGTACAGAGAAGAGCAACAAAGATGATTAGGGGACTGGAGGCTAAAACATATAAGGAACGGTTGCTGGAATTGGGTATGTCTAGTTTAATGAAGAGAAGGACCAGGGGGGACATGATAGCAGTCTTCCAATATCTGAAGGGCTGCCCCAAAGAAGAGGGAGTCTAGCTATTCTCCAAAGCCCCTGAAGGCAGGACAAGAAACAATGGATGGAAACTCATCAAGGAGAGAAGCAACCTGGAACTAAGGAGAAACTTCCTGACAGTGAGAACAATTAACCAGTGGAACAACCTGCCTCCAGAAGCTGTGAATGCTCCAACACTGGAAGTTTTTAAGAAGAGACTGGACAGCCATTTGTCCGAAATGGTATAGGGTTTCCTGCCTGAGCAGGGGGTTGGACTTGATG